TCTGCAGGGACGCGGTGAAACTCCGACACCGAGAAGGCAGCGTGTGCAGAACACGCGGCCGAGACTGGCAGAGAAGAAGCGGCGCGTGACAGCTGGTGCGGAGGATTCGGAGGACGGGACCACTAGGGTTGGGTTACGCTTCTCAAGGCGCACCTAACCCTTGACTTCGCCGGAGCAAACGACGTTCGGCGGTGGCGGCGATGGCGGACTGGCCGGAAAGAAGCGCTGCGTGGCGGCGCGTGACTCAGAAGTGGCTCTCGGAACCGGCATGGTTGGTCGTCGCCTGTACGGTCCAGATCCGCAGGTCACCCGTTGAAACTGTGACGGTGGTCGGCGGTAGCGACGGCGACGGCGACAGTGGCCGGCCGCGGACAGAGATTAGCGGCGGACAGTGGCTGGCGATGGTCGAAGGCAGAGGCGACTGGCTGCACTAGTGCTGACTATGGCACAGATTTAAGAAGAGAATGGACTGCCCACTGAGATTTTAGGGGTTGCCGGCGGCCATGGCAGTCGGCTGCCGACAGACAGCAGAGACCCCGGAAGAAGATCAGAGAACCTGCTCTGATACCATGTTGAATATAGTGAAAAACTATATTTGAATTAATCTCCCCTTGTATAAAATATACACATAGGGTTCTCTATTTATAATAGAAGAAATATGGGCTAAGCCCAAAATACAAATGAGAAATAATAACAAACTAACTAAAAGATAAAAAATATAATATATCTAACACTTAGTATGTCAAGATCTTCTATTGTATGAACAATATTCTCCATGGTTATCTTTTACTAATGACCTCCTTCTCTGTTTAATCCCTTGAAAATCCCTTGTCCTATTTTCATGAAAAAGCCTAATAAAAAATGCTTCCAAAAGAGGATGCAACTTTTCTTTCCCTGATATTTGTATCCTAACTATGTCATATTCATGGTTCAAGCCATGTAAGAATTTAAAGATTTTTCCTCTTTCCACGACTTCAACTCGTGTAGTTGCATTTGTTTTGCAGATCTCCAAATGTTGATACCTATCTAAAACACCTTACTTTAAATGTCATAACAGGCAATAAAATCCTTCTTCAAAGAAAAGTGTTATATAAGTCATCTCATATCTCTTTAGCAAAGGAATAGAACATATAGTTTCAAATTATCTCAAGAAACATGGAATGCCACGTTCAGATCATGATTAGTGAGCCTTCATTATCCCAAATCACAAAATTAAAGCCAATTGAACCCAGTCCTCTGCCCTTTATGTGATCTAATCTTGACCATCCCTTCAAAATCATCTAAATATATTGGCTCCATTACAAATAATTTCGGCCACCAAACTAGTAGGGATCCACCACATTTGGAAGATCTTGGGTCCAAAGGGATCAATTTCACCTCAAAAATTCGTCTTATAAGTTGAAGGTTGCAAGTTCAAGCCTCTTCGGAACTAGGTGCATGGGCTACTCATGTCGACACTAGTTGTGCCACATGACGGTGACTCCATCAGCAACACAGTTTTCAACCTTGTGATCATCATTTTAATACACACCTTTCTAACCCACCGCTAACCTCAGGGTGCTGGCAACAACAGACATTTGTGTGGCAATAGAAACAAAGCTCCCAACATTTGGAGTTATTATACCAACTTGAACTATGTAAAGAAATTTACAATATTTTATCAATGATAATCATACAAATTACATTCTCATCACCTATATTTGTAACAATCTAACTCTCTAAAATAACAAAAGAAAAATATGTTTAAGTGAATAGCAAGATTCCGAAGATATTTTTCTATCAATTACTATGGACATATTGAAGATATTTTTATCCTAATAATCCTCCATTTACAAAAAATTTGGTATTTGTTTACAGCAATCTTCTACTTCTTTCAAGGAATACTCCACACTAAAGAGGAAACAAAAATGTAGACGTTGCTAGAAAAGATTTTAATTCACTTGATGATTGTGAAATTCTTGAAATTGTTAATTTGTTTGTAGATGAACCTGAGCTAGAGTGTCTTTCACAATGATGATGATGATCAATGGAATGTCTTAAATGAATTAAAATCTCTTTTCACATTTTGGATTTTAGATTGATAGATTAGATCCAGATCCATTTTTGTTACAGGCAACAATTTGTTCAAACTTTGTATATGACTAGCTTTTTTAAGATGATTTTGAATTTATAACTCTTGATTGTCAAATTACATAATTCAAATATATATATATATATATATATATATGCATGTCATCGGATCCTACATTTTAGATAACACAGATGTCAGTGAATGTGCCCGTGTTGTGCCCACTGTCCATGTTTCATAACTATCAAGTTTGGCAACCTTGTATACGGTAACATTCGACCTAGATATAGACCAAATATTTCGAGAGATTATTTATCATGAGACCCTCTTAGCAACTTCTTTCAATATTTGTCTTGGTCTTTCTCTTTGCGTTCTCATATACCACTAAAACCATGCAATATTTTTGGTTACTAATTGTTGTTTAAGGTTCGTATAAAGTAAACACATAAAGGTCACATTATTAGAACAACCAAAAAGTACTCATAGGTTACCATGTAGGAAAAGTCAAACTAGCAACCATAAACTGTATAATAAATGAACTTAATTGAAGGTGACTTTGAAGAAGCAACTTTGGTTTCTTACATGCCAATAAACTAAACATATCAGCCAGGCCATAATAGCTTCTGAACTTCTATAATAAGTAAGGACAATTAAAAAAGGTGATATTAAGCACAAACCTGCCCTGTGCAAATGATAACAGGATCTTTCATTAACTCTAGAGATATTGGACAGCGAAACTCATCAGGTATAACCAGTGATTGCGTACATGATTTCACATATGACTCATCAGTATGTCGAGATATATTCTCACTTGGTGACACAATAATGTTTCCTGATTCCACCATTAAGAAATCTTGGATTTTTTTCAGCACAACCAACGACATATCCTGTATCCTTTTCTGAGAATGATCCCACCTCTCTCCGCCCATCTTTTCTAGAGCAAGTGACTCTTGCTTGACATCATCCACATTGATAAATTGTAGCTTTTCACAGATTGAACGTAGTTCAGCAGTTTCAGTCTTCACATCATAGCTCTGGTTGTACACAGACAAAAGTTGTTCATAAAGCTGAAGACCCAGTGGATCAAACTGCTCTTTAGCTCTTCTAAACTGAGTGGTCACAAGTGCAACCTGAAGATGACAACAGTAGCAGAGAAATAAGAACTTACAATTAAGACAGAACAAAAAGTGGTAGCAACAGACAAACAAGAAATTGATCAACTTACTACAAATGAAGACAAAGAAACCATAGAAAATATTATTTTTCGGAGGATATTTAACAGATCTATAACAAAACTTATTTGAGCTTATCTCATAATATAAAGACTTAATCAAATATTTAATTTCATAAAGTGGCATGTGACTTTTCTGTCAGCTCTTTTTAGCTTTTTCGGATTTTTTTTAGCGAAGCTTACATGAACAGGCTACTAGTTTCACATGTTTTGGTGCTTCAATAGAGAGAGAGAGAGCAATAATCTGCAGCAATGAAATTGTTAAATCGAAAAAAAAAACACTTAAACAAGTCTGAACAAATAATCACTTATATCTTTAAAGCTCTCCCAAAGCTAACAAAAGTAAGCAAAAAAATACGTTCAATCTGACACGCACTAAACTATTTACCCAAATGTGACCTTACGTTCTTAGTAATTAGCAAAGCAATGCTTCATGGTATAACCAAAAAGAAAAAACAAAATTATTTCTCATGATATTGAATGCACTCAATCACCTTTACAAAATTACTAACATGCAATATTCTCCTTGAGTTAGAAGTATCAAGTTTTCCCGAGAAAGAAAGCTTTACAAACATTATTCACCTGTTCCTTGATTTCTTCAGAAACATCAAGCTCATCAAAGGAGATCTTCCTCATGGCATGTTCAAAACGAACAGCAACATCTGTGAACCTGTGTTTAACTTGCTCTCTGTCCAGTATCTGCAATTCCAAGCAAGCATCCACAGAACCAAAAACCAGATGAAATTCAAATATACAACAAATGACGTTACAAAAAGCAAACCATAAAGAAGAACGTGCAACACACCCTATAATATTCTTTTGAAGGCACAATATTAATTAAATTTCAGTTTAACTACTCATTTGGCAACGTCTAATTCTCTTTTGAACACACTTTGCTGATTAAATTTTAGTTTAATTACTCCTGTAGTTTCTACGCTTACAATTTTTTCCCTTTCAAATTCCTATATCTAAAACCATTTCCTTCCAGTGATACACAATAATGTTTTTATTCTTTATCATCTTTAGTACCTGCACATATAATTTTAATATATTTTAGTTTGTTCAAAGAAGAATATATTGAGTTTTTATATTTTAAAATAAATTAATTTTTTTCAATACATCAAAATCAGTGTATTTTGTATAAAAAGTAAATTAATTTTTTTTCTAATATATCAAAGTAATTATTTTGTAGAGACGGTGAGAAACAAGTAATTAAACCTAAAATTTTCTTTTAAAAATTTTCAAAAATTACGAGTAAAACAGTGAATCTCATTAAAGAAACGAGATATGCTATAATCGGTGTTTGTAACTTTTAATGAATTTTAAAATAATTTTAAAAAAAAAAAAGTGTTTAGCTATCATTTTTCAAACGAGCAATGCAATTTGGTTACACAAAGCTCGTTGAGTGAATTGAAGAACGTACCATGAAAACCTGGCTTGTAGTGGTGGCGAATTGGAGCAAATCCCTGGCCTTGAAGAGCGCTTCCTGAAGTGCGTGGAAGGAAACGGCACCCGTCAACTCAACGTTGTCATGCAATTCGAGGAAGAGAGGAGCGAGGAAGCGTATGCGGCGAGCGAGGTCGCAGCATTGGGTCCTGATGATTGGCTTGAAGGAGGAGAGGTACGAGATTTGGGTGGAAACGCGGGTGAGGTTGCGGAGCACCCAGGAAGGGTCGGTTTCCGCCATAGATAGAAGAAGCGAAGCGAGAATGCCAAGGCGCGTGTGTGGGTCCCACAATCACGTGGTTAAGGTGAAGGAAAGCACAAGATTTAAGAATGGTAACTGGTTGTGAAATAGTGGTTAACTCATGGCGCCACGGAAGAAGATATTTGCGCGAACGACGCATGGCATAGTTCCATGAAAACCTTTGCTCAAAATGCCGAACTTGTATTATTTTTCAATCAACTAATTATACCTTTTTGTTACTTACTGTTTCTTTTCTCTCTGTATTGTAAGATTTTAATTCGGAAATAAACGATCATATTACGGGTTCTACTCATAGTTAATTTCCTACATTATTAAGAAAAAGGTTGAAATTGTATCAATCTTTTTAATATAGCTTTTGATTATTATAAATTTATTTTCACAAATATTTTTGTTGAGAAAAAAACTAGAAATTTTCTTTTTGTAAACATAAATAAATATTTTATAACTTATTTTCGTAATAATACTTATGGAGTGAAAAAAAAATACCAAAATGTCACGAAATAATTCACGCACAACGCATGAATTGCTACACACCATGTCAACATTTCAAGGTCATGTTTACAAATTGTATGTGATCAAATGTGAATAATTTGTGGCAGTTACCTAAAAGATCATGATTTTATTTTCCATCAGCATAAATTTATTATTGAGAAAACCAAAAAATCTTGATTTGAAATACAAGTTTCAAGAGAAGAGGCAAAACATTAATAATTACAAAATGATGATCTTACCTTATTTAATTTAAGAAAAAAATAAAATTAAAGTTAAAAACCTCCGTAATTTATGTGAAGTTGAGGCCCATAACTAATTTAGGGCCATTTCACCCAGCAACGTGGATAAGGCCTAAGAAGAAAACCTCGAGACTATTTCTTCCTCCACCACCACAATTACTAGTTGCACTCTCATATTAATAAAAAAATATTAAACTCACTACTGTATTACACTACCACTACCGTCATCACGCTATTATAAAGAAAGAATAAGAAAGGAAGAAGAGGAGAGAAAAGGCAAAAAGGAAAACTCATTTTGAAAAGCACTTTCAGAATCCTATGGGATTGTTCAAAGGATTTGTTCAAAGGATGTGTTCAAAGGATGTGTTCAGGAAAAGTTGTTCTGAAAATCTTATTCCAGAATCTTTTGTTTCATAATATATTTTATGTGTACTGTAACATCCCAAAAATACAGCAATAAACTATATAATAAAATAATTACTTTAATAATAATCCAGATCAGTCTTATATTAGAGTCGAGCGTACGCTCATGGCCAAACGGCCTTACAGAACGAGTTACGAAAATTAAGATGTACAAGATAAGCGAACCTGACCGAACGGTTTACAAAAGAGAAAAATACCGAATGGTCATACTTAAACAAAGGGAAGGTGATCGAACGACCCCCTTACTATAACTAGGCAATTGACCGAACGTCCTACTGTTCGATCTTTACCTCAACTTCTTCCAAATTTTCTTGTTCCAGCAGCTCGTCTCCTTCTGCTCACATCCACACGGATGATCATTGCAATGACAAGGACGGACGTACAAAACAGACACGACAGGAAACACAGGGTAAGCTTATGTAATTTAATTCATGCATAGACATACATTTCAAATAATCCAACACTAGATAAATTTCAACGTACGTATCATACAAAGCCTATCACTAGACTGACTGTCCGGACTGTATGAAATCTGCTTAGCTATAGGCGTTCGTGCACCCGGGTGATGTAGTAACTGGAATACTCTCATCAGCTGCCGCCTGAGGTTAGTCCTATTCATCTAAAGTACCCCTAAGGACGGGACCTCCTGCCGTTCACACATGACCTACCCTCCTCTACGTGAGGACGAGTACCCACAAAACATCAGGATGAACAGCCAGCATTAGCATGCCCACAGTCATACTTTACCAATTCCAATATTCATACATGAGTCGTTCCTCCCCGGATCGCTCTTCCATAAACCATAATATTTCAATATCACATTTTCTTCATCTTTCACTAATACATATCTCATTTAATCACCTCGTTCAAAGATTCATAAGGATTACAAATAACGAACGTTCAACCCGAACTTAAAACTGGGCCGAACACATAGAGCGAGACTAAGAGATCTCCAAATTTGAGAATGGATTAAGACCAAGGGTTGACATCAGGTTTTGAGAAGGATAGCGAGCACAACAATATATTCCAAGAAACGAATGGAACGAACGTCAATTTCAACATTGAGCCAATTAGATGAACCGACTCTTGAGAACTCTATCCGAACATCAAAAGACCAGACCAAGAACGAGGACTCCAGAGTGAAACCAATGAATACGAATATTTCAAGGCACAAAATAATATTTAGAATTGTCTCATATAAAGAAACCCAACGCTTGTGAATACTTAGTTTAGTTGAAATTTACATCAAGAAATTCGAATGCCAGTCAATGACCGAGCACGGTAGAGAAGAAAATTCTATTGAAGTTAGACGAACGTTATTTTTCATCATTATAGATTATATAAGAAACGAGAACGAGCGCTTGGTGTAAGACCGAGCACTACTCAGTACGAGCACTTGGTGTAAGACCGAACACTAATGAACTTATAATAAAAGGCTTGATAAATAGAATAAGATACTATCGAAGTAGTGTTACGAACACGAGAATATACCATTACATATATATATAAAAATTTAGTTTATCACAAGATACCCAGATACAACTGTGTTTGGCCGAACGCTCAAGCATAGTATTACCACACGAGGACGCTCGTCCTCAACTAGGATTCTCTCCAAATGAAAGAATCCCATTTCAACTATGTTTACCAGAAGAATCGAACGGTCGAAGACCGTTCAGTAACGAACGTACACTTTCATATGAGAAATCATATCAGGATCATTTATATTCCAGCTCATTTATTTCATATAGTTTCACAACTTTATACATTCATCTCATAATCACTTTTCATACTTCATATAATCCAAGCATATCAACCATCATGCATCATATCCATTCAGTCAACTAACGAACGTTCATACAATCCAAGCATAGAAATTCCATACATTTCATACATCAGAACATAGCACAATCATAATTCATTCCCAATCATTATGTAAACGAATGTTCATGCAGTTCAACAACATACAAATTAAATTAAATAAGCTTCCCTTACCTCTGAGCGTGAACGTACGTCCCTCAGACTGAGACTCAGTTCGCCGAACTACGATCCTTTCTACTCTCAACGCTCAACGGCTCTTCGAACCAAAGTAAAACAACAGACCAAACTCGTTCAGAATGAAACTAAGGGCTCATGCAACCAGAACTTGGTTTGCATGTTTACAAGAACGAACGGTTAAAGACAAGAAAAACTTACCCGTTCATAATTTGAAACCAATCGGATCAAACTAAAGCTTGGGACGCCGGAAGTGATCCTACTGTGCCTGAATAGTGATCGGAGGAGAGAAAGTGAGTGTTTTCTCAGAGAGAAGATGGAGAAGACGTAGAGAGAAGGAGGAGAGAATGGGATCCTTCATAAATCTGAAAAGAGGGTGCATGCAGAGAGTGGAGTAGATTTTCTGTAAATCCAAGTTTTTGCTTCACACATCAAAACGAACGTCCCCTCTTCAGTCGACACCTGTTTTCCACTAACTGATTTTCGGATCCTCTTCGCTTGACACCTGGCGTCCGCGCAGAGGGTTTTGGGTGCGTTTTTAATGATTCTGACATGAGGGGTTTGGGTGCGTTTTTTTGAGGTCTGACATGTACAAAAAATCTCGTTCTAAAAATCTTATTTTGAAAATTTCAAAATATTAGTTCGGAAAGTTTTAAAATACTTCATAACATAAAATACAGTAAATTATCATTTTAAAAGAAGTAAAGGATGATGATTTAGAATGTAATTTAGATTACAATTAAAAGGAATACTGGATATGTTGTTTTAATTGTGATGGTATAATTTTAGGGATGATATTTTGGAATATGTTTCACTCAAAATGTTATAGATATATATAAATATATGTTTGATTAATTGTTTTATATTTTTTAGTTTTTTTCTAAAATTTCAAAACAGTACAAATAAAAATCATATGAAAGTTATGTGCATGAAAAGATTGAAATTAAATGTATAAATGATATATATATATATATATATATATATATATCCTTATATAAAAGAAATTGTTTTTTATATATAATTATTTTTTCTAATTTTACCTCTTAATAAATTTTTTTTTTTAATTAAAATAATCACTTTTTCAATTTTTCAATTGTGTTATGAGATAGGAACCATGTCGTCCATCAAGACAACATCACCTTGACATTAATATCTTGTTTATAATAATAATATGTACCTCAATCTTGTCAACATCCCAAAATAAAATTAATATAATTAATTAAGGATTAGATAAAAAAAGTTAAGTTAGAAAATTCTAAACCTAGGAAAGACTTTGACCTACATAATCTAAGTCCATTTAAATAAAAATTCAAAATGCATTATAAATAATGTTTCGGTGTACATTTGTCCGGTGTGTCTTTATTGCTCCTGGCTGTCTGGGACGCTGTCTGGGACGCTGTCTGGGACGCTTGCTCTTCTCCAATTATTGCTCTTCATACTTGCCAAAGGAGGGGGAGGTACCTGCAAAGATACTCCGACGCTCAAGTCAGATGTGAATTATGGAGCCTTAGCTCTCCAGAGAGTAATTATGGTACTGCTCTGAGATATTATTCTAGAGTCTCTAGAGCATAAAGAGAACGTACCTGGACTTTGGTCCTGTCACTGTATTTATAAGCAAAATAAAAATAACCACCTTACCTAAAAATGTGGTTAGTGGCTTTGATAAATATCTTAACTGTCTAAAATATCTAAGATATTTATGTTATTACATAAATATCCTTACTACATAACA